CAAAAATGTATTGATTTTTTTTTTAAATTAATTTCAACAGATTGATTCGAAAATTGCAAATCACACCAAATCGTATCTCGAACAGCATTTAGATAATGTTGTCAACCCATACCCACTTGCTATAACAACCTATGCGCTGATGATTTCGAATAGCTTCTTTACTAAAAAAGCGCTAACAAAATTACAGTCTCTTTCGACAAACCAGGAGAGTGAATTTGGATGGCCCAAAGTACATCTTACGTCCGACTGGTACGACGACGTAGTGCCACAAAAAAAAGGTGAAAACAGTGAGTGATTTAAATAATAATGAGTTTTTAACTACTTACCTTATTAAAATCCACACCGTATTATAGTTTCGATTGACGAATTCAAAGCTTCATTATATTGTTTAATGATCTACTCGGCTAAACGAGAATTGAAATCATCTGAACCCATAGTCCGTTATCTATACTATAGGACTAAAATCTTGGATACATATCCAGAGGTATACATCACAGTGTGAAATCTAAAAATACATCACGTGGCTAACTATTTTTTTTTTCCATTATAGTTGGCGTATCTAGCTGTGAAAGCTTTTGCTATGTATGATAAAATTGGATCGGATCCTCACCGGAAATTAACAATTTCCCTGGCTACTTCCGGTATGGAATTGACCGATACGTTAGAACTTGACCCCAGTACAAAATCACAATACTTACATTTACCTTCTTTACCGACAAAAGTATTCGTCTACGCTACCGGAGCAGGATGCTCAACAATACAAGTTCGTACTTTTTAGTTTTTTAAATATAATAAATATATTTATATTTTAATTCAAGTTATAAATGACATTAAGATTACACTCTACAAATCCAATGTTATCTTCACTTTTCTCAAAATAAATATAATCAAAATTAAATAGTTCTTGTATCTATTCAGAAGATTTAATAATTTTCTATACAAAATATAAACATTTTTAAGCAACTGCTGTACGCCAATGGTCTATTTAATACAGTTTACAGATACATTTCTTTTTAACATAAATATGTTTTTGGGCTGGGTTCAACTATTTTTCCAATAGATTTCTGCATGGCCGATGTCCGTAACGCTTTGTTTATTTCCATAGAAACTCAGATCATCGATGGAAATAAAAATAAATTAAATAAATTTCTAACAAAATATACCATGCTACTTAATATTTTCCCACTGCACTATACCCCAAAACATACCTAGGATTCCTCAATTTTCCTTGCAGATTAAACATATCTAATAGCATGCTACTTTGATGTTGAGTTTTAATTATTTTTTTAATTTGAAATGTTTAGTTATTCTAATAGCATCTTTTGTGTTAATTTACAATGAATAAATATTCTAGTATAATAAAAACATATTATATAGGTAAATTTACTAGACTTAAAATAGATGGAATATAAATTATATTAATAAATTATTTATATTATTTTTGATACATTTTACCATAAACTTTACCTATAAATTAAAATTACATTAATGGATATAGATAAGTACAGCTAACAATAGTATTGAAAATAATAATTTAATACTCGTAGTTCAATCATTCAACGACAAGATTAATATTTATTTAGACCTTTAGCTTAAGACCGAAATCGGTGTTATTTTTAAATGTATTTATTTATTTTTAGGGGAGGGTTTTGTATTCTACCTATACTACTGCAGAAAATGATAAAAAACCATTTGATCTATGGTCAGGAGTCACGGATGTTATTCAACCGAGTAAAGGTTTTACAGATGAAATATACGGGCATGCGATAACATTAAGACTAAAAACATGTTTTAGGTATATTATACAGTAATAAAAAAATCGATGAATTATAATTGTTTTATTCGTATTACTATTATGTAGGATGAACAACGATACGGAAGATGCTATAAGACTAGAAGTAAAACTCTTTTCGGGGTATTACTTTGACAAGATTTCTTCTGCTAGCGTATCGGATGTCCATCACAACTCGCATTCAAATCATGTTTGGTTTGTCTTCGCTAAGGTAGGTACAACACTTTGTAGCATACCTAATTACCGACCAAAAGTGTGAGTACAGACTGAAACAATAAATTCAAATTATTATTTAACCATAGGTAAAAAGTAGCTGTATTGTTTGCGTATCCTACACGGCCAAGAGCATTCAAAAAGTGACCGGTCTACGACCAGCCGTAGCAAAAGTGTACGTCGTGTCTAGACCTGACCAGAGCTCGTATAAACTATTCCACGTAGACGAAGAACAGAACCCATTGGCCGAAGGGTTGACCGACATGCAAATTGCCGACTGGATAACCAACGATTCCAACGGTAAAAACCTACACGACAATAGAATATGACCAACGATGACATATTATTACAATTATTTAATCATTAAGTATTAATTTTTAATTTTTCAATCGATTTTTCGTGCAGGCTTTCCCGTCGATAACAACAATCCGTGCAAGTGTAACAATCACTGCGAGCCGCCTACGACGGAGAAAACGACAGTTGTGCCTACTACATTGAACACCACTATTCAGAGACAGTCGACCTTTGCCGCCACTACTTCCACATTTACCGGAGACGTGACGACGGACGGAACACCCGCAGCGACCCGGTCAACAAAGGCGGAAGAAGTGCTGTCGAAACCGAGGATCGCGACGATCCCGACGAAGATCAAACGAACGCCCGTGAAGTCGACCGGAAATGTAGTGCGCAACATGAAAAAACCCAACAAGAAAACCGACAAGGACAAGGATTCCAATTCTAAACACAGAGTGAACGACAATGGCCCAGACTCAGTCGATCGTGATCCCACACCGTTGAAAGATACTGTCAATACCGACCCTGCAGCGATGAATAAAATGGCCCAAATGAATACGATGGCCAATATGGGCCAAATGAATATGATGAGAAACGGCAGGCCGTCAGCTATCGGCAGTTCGACAACAAAACCGACGACGACCACTACCACAAAAGTCACAACCGCGAGAGGCTCAAACGCAACAAAGGAAGGTACAACTGCACAAACTACCACTTATACCCCGGTGACCACTCCGACTTCTATGAAGCCTTCAACCATCACCCCAAAGGCTCTGACCTCGGCTACTTCGCAGGCGTCTAAGACATCAACGCCCAGCAGCCCGACTACAACAGTTACTTCTCGACCATTCAAGACCACGGTTACACCCATTACCACCTCCACCGCCCCAACCACCACCACAACCACCACCACCACTGTTGTGACACCCACAACCATCAAACCAGTGCAAGAAACTTCATCCAAGTCGTCGAAATCTCCGACAACTTCCGTGTCGCCGGCAACGACAACCAAAACGCCATTGACCACTGCAGCAGTAACTTCGGTAAAACCTACTGTAACAACGGCAGCACCACCTCCGGCGGCGACCACAACGGCTGCAACCAAAGATCGCACGACACCCATGACGGCCAAACCACTGGCCCCGTCCACGACGCCGATCGCCGACTTGATACTGGAAGCAAATCGAAACAAAAAGATAGCCGCCGATGGCCAAAAGAAGGACGGCTCTGAATAATAATCGCAATTGATGTTTGGTTACTGCTCGAAACTAAAATATGAATTGCTCCAAAATGTATTTTATTATTATTATTATTATTATTACCACCCACTATCTGCAGATTAACAGTACAGCAATAATAATCTGCGATGTACATAATTTGGGCGCATTATCGCTTTAGATATGGGATTTTATCAAATATTTATTTACTTAGTTATACAAGCAGAGTTGGTTTTTATTTAGACGTACAAGGGCATGGTGACATAACATGATAATATATTGTACAACTTGTGTACTACCAACCATATCGTCGTCCAAATTGATATGGGTTTACTTAGAACATTTTTGAGTGTTATCGAAATAATGATACTAATACACATAAAAAGGTATCGAAATAAAAAATAAACCTTAATAATAATACATCTTCAAGTAGACATACAGTTTTTGACATTGAGTGACAATCAATAGATACGAGTTTCAGATGTTACCTTAGTATTGTTAACTTTTATGCCGTTCTATTTTTATTTTCACAACAAAAGTATTATTAAACTTCATAAAAATGCTCAAAATAATATATATATAATATATTATATTATTATGATAGATGTAACATGCCAATTTTTAGAGACACATTTTGGTGCTTTTTGGCTAGTCAATTCGTTTTTCCGTTCGAAATACGTCCGTTTTTTTATTAGAATTTGTGGAAAACTAAACGGATATCAAAAGAAAAAAGAAATAGTTAAAGTAGAATAAACGAATGAAAGAAAGTAACGTAAAAACATTTTGCTTTTATAAATTTCATGATTCGTTACTATTAAGAATTGTCTACTATGATAATATTGTAAAATAATTATAGATTTTTTCATATTTCAATAATATTGCACCTGCGGTAACTATCCGTCACAACTATATTTCTAATGTAATATAATATACAACGTTATTAAATACATTTTATTAATGCACGCGTATATTCTGGTACACATGACGTTTCCGCAACAATAATACTATTTTTAGGTATTATTATTTACAACTTTTATTGTTATGAAATTTAATATAAGTGTAAAATTATATTTAATGTATGCATGTGTTGTGTGTAGTCTCAAGTTCGTAGTTAATCAGTTCGTTTTCAGTAAAATACATTTAAACAATGTTTTAATAATAATTATACTGTAAATGTGGATAACTAAAATATACCAAACCTTTTAACGTATTATAATAATATTATATTATAGTATAATAACATTATTATATAAATTATTGTCACAGCGAAAACACTTTTTTTATTTTCCGTGTCAACATTACAATATTTATTTTTTTAATCTAAACAGTTTTTAGATATTTAAACTATGTAATATGTATATTATTTTCCATTAAAAATTGTATTCTTTTACCTCAACACATAATGAATATTTGTAGTGTGCTGTCGTTGGCTGTTACGACTTTTGTACTTATATTGTTGCAATAAAGTTGTAGTGATGCTCAGATTCTATAAGAACATTATTGAGTATATTTTATTACATATAAGAATATTTTTTTTTCATTTTTCTTATTATTAAATAATTATAAACACAATTTTTCCATCTTTTCTCTTCAACGACATCGATAGCGAAACAAATGATATAATTATATTATATATTGCCGTTGTTGTGCACGAGGCGCATCAACGACATTAACAATAACGCATACAAAATAATAATGTTAGATCAATTTTAAAATATAACGAAAACGTATAGTATAGGTGATTGTGAGTTTACGCTCTCATTTTCCGAGCAATATCTTTCTGGTGTTTCCAAAGTTCTGGCCGGCTTGTGTAGCGCCTTTGTTCTGTCCGGCTTGTAGTCCGATGACGCCCTCTCCGGCCCGCAATTGCATTTCAGTAAAATCGCGCTTGTTCTCCTCTGACGGCCTTGGTCCCAAGGATGGGCCTCTCCACTCTGGGTGTTTGTGCGCCTAAAACCATCGATGGGTATAAATATTCTGCTTCTGGTATCCGAGTTATGTTGTGTTAATATGTTCGTTAAGTACATGTTAAAGACCTCAATTAATGGACTACGCAACCCTCCCTACATCATAACGTAACATAGTTCCCAAAATTGTTAGAAAGAAACAGCTGGCCAATCACACCGGTTTTAAGGTTAATATGTATAATGGTTTAATGGTGTTATGATAACTTTAGATAAAACAATTTGGGGGGGGGGCTATAATAATATAAATTAACACTTCGTATTAACATAATATTAGGGGCGGCGCCAGTGACATGGTTGGGGGGACGAGCTGAGTCATAACTTTCAGAAAACCTACGATATTACAATAAGTTTTTTTAAAAATTATTTTGCTTTTAACAACATACATTATTTTTAGAAATACGGGTTTGGAAAGGAGCGGCCCCTGCATAGTATATGTTAAGTAGATACTTAGTTACTTAGATACTTAGAGGTTAAGTAGAGAAATATTTGGGGGGCTTAAGGAGTATTTGAGGAGTAGGTCTCCTAATCATAAATGTACGCCTATGACCTGTACATAATATGATGGCTCCTAAAATATATTAATTATCTCTGTTAATATGAATAGATGAGATGGTGTTTGACATCTTTTTTTAACAACGTTGGCTCTAAGACCCCTATCACCCTCTCTTTCTCTCTCTCTCTCTCTCTCTCTCTCTCTCTGTATATATATATAGTTATATATAGATCTATAGTTACGTACCGTCCTTCCGATAGCGAATATCGTCATGGTCACTCTGTATACATTCTTTTGTTCGAACAAGTCAACAGACTGGAACAGATCGACGTCCGGGACACCGTATTCAATGCAAGCCTTTTGAAATCTACAAAGGGGCACAACAAATTCAATAAGCATCGTCGTTCATTAATACGTACTCATTACATAAGTACATGAGATACATAAGTACGCATTTATATTTGTTTGAAAACAGCAGACATTTACTATATACAAGTAATATGGACTCATATGTATGGCTGTTAAAATTAACTTGATTGATCAATAAAATTGTACAATAACCAAATAATATTAGGATTATGTGTTTTTAATAATTCGTATTTAATACTAAAAAAGCAGACAAGTGGATGTCACTCTGCTGTACAGTAGGTTACTTGTAGGTCACTGTAATGGATGGGGTTAAATTTGAATTCAATAATATAAAATCATCAAATACGAAAAACGATTCCGAGAAAAGACGGTCTGTCAGCATATTACATACATTTACAGTTTACACTTATTTACATAATTAACTATTTGTGTGCGACCTTGGTTTAAATGTTTGATCCTTAGCTATAAAAGTTGAACATTTCAGAAATATTTAACTACAAAATAATGTGAATGCTCAAACTACTTATCACTTTTCACAATTTATTTAATGATCCATCCACCGCATCTTTATTTACTCTGCTAAGGTATGTACTATTAAAATATTTAAAATGGTGTCTATATAAATCAATAATAATAATAATAATAACAATTTTGTAGGTAAAACAAATACCTATATCAACTTTCAAGTTAATAAATAACTACAATATCGTAATTATATTAAGCATAAAAAAAATATGTCACCAGTTCGATAGCAAGATAAACAAAAATTAAGCCACACTTAACAGTTTAACGCATAAAATAAACTAAGGAGGGAATCATAATAAAGGAACTGCAATATTTTTGATAATAACAAAAATAGTGTTCGACGAATTTTCAATCGAATTCTTATTGCAAAAGGTTATGTCAATATAATTAGAATAGGTTTCCTGTATACTATGAAATATATAAGATTTTACTAGAAAATATTATATGTTTCTTGAAGAATAGAAAATCATTTAGCATTCGATATTATAATAATAATATTATACGTACTGGCTAATGTTGTCCATCATCTTATAATCGCCACCTGAAGTGTTAATTTTGGGTATAATACCCGGTGCCAGTTTGTTCATCAGCTTGCATAACAAAACTCCGTCCCTGAGTGCTAGCTCGAATGGCAAACCTAAACCAATAAACAAGTTCGACCGGGTTAGGCGTTTATTTATCAAGGTATCAACATTTATTATTTTATTTTATTAACGGACATAATATGTCCAATATACAATGCAATTATTGTCACAATATGATAAAGTCAATTTACCCGGTGCAAACTTTTCACCAGTAACGGCTTCGATCCATTGCTGAGCTTCGGCTTCTTGGTCCAGGTCTCTTTTACCGGCAACCTGAAATAAAATTACCATAATAAATTCAATACGATTTCAACTAATCATCGTAGTAAACATTCGTGATTGCGAACGTTAAGTTATTTCAATCGAAATTTTCTACGGTCATGTCTAGTCTAATTGAGATCGGTCGGTTAACTTTATCTAATTTCGTTCACCCACTCTTTTGAATTTGGTTCTAATATTTAAAATCCAATGCATTAAAATTAATATTTATTGTTCGACATTTAAATAAAAAATCCTAAAATGTGGACTGACAAATTTCATGAGCAGACATATTTACAAATTAAAATCAGTACTCAAAAGTCTTATCACAGGATTATAAGATCCATCGCATCAGCAGGATTGACAAAAAGTATACTTACAAAACACAAATGATGAGTCTAATATATTATTATGTATCGGCGCGACGCCGAATTAGAAAGGATTAAAATATAAATATCCCGTTTCAATTTAAAACGAGTATGTTTAGTAGAGGTTAGTCTCTTTACTACCATATCGGGTTCTGATGTTCATGAACGCATATGGTATGTATGAAAAAATAAAATATCTTGTCAAGGTGACAATATCCAATCGGACCTTAATAGCATAGCTGGTAGCCACGTAAAATAAACGTCAACACAAAATATAAAAACATAAAATAATAATTATCCAGTGTTATATTATTACTATGCCATACTACATGATGTAAATTTCACGTTTGTTGTGAATATAATTATTACAATATATTTACAAAATGTAATCCACTTGAATTAATTAAAAATACGAGATCATTAAGCAGACATTCGACTGTATTTAAATAAAAATGACAGTGACACAATTGAGTGGCTTATAATAATATTCACCTATGTGGTTGGGTAAGTACCCAACACAAAAATAGTTTCAAAATGGATTAATGATCGTTTTAAGTTACATGTGTGAGAAGACATACATTGGAGCATTGGTGAGCATTAAGCATCGTGTCTTCATAAATATATTTTTTATTGTTATTATTCTTTTTATAGTCAACGGTCACACGTAATCAAAAACTTTTAAATCATATTTTTAATGGTTATCAAAAGTTTGACTAAGATCCAAGTTCTATTTGCAGGGAAACGTTTAATAAAACCTGAACCCCCTTTTCTTTGTAGAGGACCTTCGAAGTGGCACGTATATATACCTACGTATTTGATTCCTTGCCAACCGAGGTTTTATTTATTTCATATAAATAAAATCCGATAATATCGAAAAAAAAATGCATTGAATACACACACTCAATTGGCACACTCACACACATTTGTATCCTCACATACAACACGGACTCACATAAATCAACGACTGGCCTGTATTGCATTACCTCAGGTTACACTTCACATAATACGTGTATTTGGATTAAAACGTTATTATTTATAAACAACACGTGTAATGAAAATAATTAAGAAACCAACATTAATACATTTATCACTTATCCCACGCTATACATAATATGTTATGTAAATCGTATAGTTGTTCGTAAACACCTATTGCCACTGCAGTTAGTAACATAAAATTTGAGATAACAACAAAAAGAACCCTAAAATTATCCTTTGGTTGATTTGTAAAAACCTTGAACTGAATTAAAATAAGGAATATACTTGGTTTTTATATTTAGATTGTTAATGACGAGTCGACTACATCAGACTAACCGACTAGCTCTCCCCCCCTACAGATGACTATGAAACGATATTCTCATGATGTTATGGTGTCCCTAAGACATTTTATTAGACGTGATGAGTATGATAAAGTAGTCTAGTGAACGTGACCTTGAATTTTAAAAAAAGTGAAACTTTTAACTATAAATACATTTGTCAAAATTAAAATATGATATGGAATAAAGATTAATCCCGCCTAAATAAAAGTCAAGTATTCAATAAAGTTTAGCTGCATTTTTATGATTTAAATATTATTATGATTGATCGAGCTTTTATAGAATTTAAATTAGAATTAGAGTTGCTTTAACATACTCATAATAATTTCATTGTTTAGATAACCTATAGCACTGTTGTGGAATTGTATAATCACGGTTATTCAAACAATTAAATTAATTTTATAAAAACTAAAAAATTAGTCAATTTGAAATGTTTTCGTATATAGCTTAAACTTTGAATGTGTCATTGTAATATCATATTAAATAGATATATTTTATTGTTTTAATTGCAATTTAAATATATTCCTTGGTAAGTATACAAGACATCAGACATGAGTTAGGTACTTCTGAGTTATTACTGATCCTAAAGATATTTATATATATATTTATTATACAAATATACCTAAGTAAATATATTAAATAAGTAAAATATATATTTTAATACCTACACTTTCTAATAACACTATTTTAATCTGCATTATTCCACAAATTGTATAATAATCTTATTAGAATAATATAAGACTAATTCACAGGTGTTTACCTACTATCTGATGAATTATCAGTGATGATAACAGATTTTCGATAAATTACTACACTTCACTTAATATTTCAGAAACATGATGATGTTAAATATTACATATTATATAATATATATTATTATAAACATTATTATGATATAATATATTGAATACAATAATTCATACTTTACCAAAACCTTAATATCAAAGAAAACTATTCCAATAGTTAGCCCGAACTTTTAAATAAAATAATAGTCAACTATAGGATAATTGTAAATTACAGTTTGCTAAGCTTTTCTCGTGGGCGCCCGCTGGGTGGTACTGTGGGGCTTGCCCAACCAGCTTTTTAGTTAATATTAATTATTTTATCACTTTTAAATACAAAAAAATTGTATGGACGGTGTTATTCGAGATTTATGACTTCATATTTATATTTCTGAGGGAGCCCTTGACTTCTAAACAAATCTGTTATAATGAATAGAGTGAAACCTCCCTTAATAAATATCTCTAAATAGCGGACACCTCCGAATGGCGGATATTTTTATGGCAATTTAAGTTTTGATTTCGAAAATTATACACCGATATCAACGATAGAACGAATATGTCCACGCTAAATGAGGTAGAAAATGATAAAGAAAAATATAAGATCTAAGATCAAAAAAAGGATCTGACTCCACAAATAGAAAGTCTACAGGAGGCACTGGCAACAGTGAAAGGTGTGCGTGAATATATTTTTTCAATCCATATTCCATACACAGAATCCTCCATTTTTCTCCAACGCAGTTAAATTACAAGATTTCTTACTACACGAAATTACTATGCATCGAGGTCTTAAACAAGCTAAAGTAACTGATTTGTTCAATAAATGTTAATTTTTATACTATATGATATTTTAAATTTATTTTTATTTACATTTTCATTAATTTTTACATACATAATAGTATCATAATTTTAAATAATGATATGCACAACTAATATTTATTTATTATTAAAATAACACAAATACAATATATACCTATATCATTATTATACATACGTGTATATTATATAAATATTGTATATTATATTATGTAGTTATTATTTCTCCAAATTATTTTCGAAATTTTTTTTTCCCCTCTGAATAGCGGACACCTCTAAATAACGGATAAAATTACGGCGACCGAGAGTGTCCGGTATTTAAATGTTTCCCTATAGTAAATTGTTTGAAAATCTTTTAAGTATAAAAGAATTCATACATCTTGAAAATCTAGCCTTTAGTTAAGATTGTAAGATCAAAGCGAACTTGTAACAGGTGAAACTGTTAAATACCTTTTTACCTTTCATATCTATATTATATTTAAATTAAACTGAATTAAATCAATATTTCTTAAATTATTATAATAAATTATAAAACTCTTATCAACTACCTACCTACTAGTAAACTAATATTGTCATTCAAATAACTATTCTGCTATTTAAATTCGATGTGTAATAATATTAAATACTTTTGACCATATAAAATTGATAACTAACTTTAGGTTCACTAATTTTATAAAAATGTATGTATTTTGTACGATTGTTAAATCATTAAATATTTTATTTTACCTGCCACAAAGGACGTCCACTAGGCATTGTATTTGTTTGGTTTTATGAAAACGAAGAAAAAAATGATATTTGAAGTAGCTTCAAACGAATCGTGTCTGTCGGATGGCTGGACTGTTTGTGTGCGGAATAGGCGATTACACTGTCATGCCAATGAAGCTTTTCTGGGTTTTAAGAAGGGCGCGTTCACGCTAGAAACCTTGTCCCACGCACACGCACACACCTTACAACCAAACTAATAATAATAATAGTAATAACAATAATAATAGAACGACTGAAAATTAAATGGTATATGAATAAAATAAACAAGCATTAATAAAATATTATATAAATACACTTTCGAACCGTTTAGGGCATGGATCCAATTATTTAATGGTCATACCATTATTTTAGCAATTTATACCAGTAAAGAGTCGGTGGATTCAATCCAATCAACAATAATTCCAATATTAATAACACAATAAACGTATTTAAATGTGATTATACCTAATGAATAGACTGGATAAATAAAAAAACATTTTTTTTTTTTTAATAAAACATTTTACCTACACAAAAATCAACAATACGCGTGTATTTTAATGTAGAATCACGGCTAATTTAATGGAAGAATCATCCAATTGGAAAAATACAATTTTCATAAATAACATTATAACTGTATAACATTGTATTAGGTAGTTATTTAGTATTATTAAAATAATACTTAAAAATATTGAAGAATCTATTAATATAATCCTTTGATCACTGTCTTTATTACTCATTATGACTCAATATATTATTACTCATTTTTGTGCTTTTTCAGGTTTTTTCATGGTACAACCATGTTTGTAATATCTGAAATAATTTACTAATAATTACATAGTTGAAAATATCATTAAATATTTATACTTTATAATAACTATATAATATCCAAGGCTAAACAAGTTAAATAATATTTTTAACTCCTTAAGTTAAATTAGTGTAGAAAAGTGTAAGTTAAGTTTAAAGTTAGTTAAAAATGAAATATATTATTCATATACTTATTTAATAATATTCACACTAAAAATAACTTCTTTTTCTTTTGTATTAATGTATTAATAATAATAATATTTATTTATTTTCCACCAATAGTTTTACAATTTATGAGTAAAAATTCACTAGTCATAATTTTAAAGATAGAAATACCAATATTATTTATATTTTACATTCAATAATATTGTTCAATCTGTAATTTAAGTGCTAAAAGTATTTAGTGGGCATGCAATCGTATATGCACAATAAATGAAAACCCATTTTTTTTCATATAATAAGGATGTATTTCTATAAGCACCACTTCAACAAGACCAATAAATTATTTGATATATACCTATATATATAGTTGTACGCCAACCTGTGTAGATAACTGTGGTAACATAGGTATTAGTGGTATTATCATGAAAAATAAAATATCAGTCGTATAACTGTATTATATTGTAGTCGGCGCTTTCCATTACCACACAAACATGACCATATACCGCACAAAATGCATAAACCAAACCGCACACAACGAATATCACGATGATACTGCTCAAATGTATTGAATATAAACATTTTTAAAAATATTACATAGTATATTATGTAGAATTAAATTCAAATCAAATTGATTAAAAATAGCATCTATAGTTTATATTCTTATAGCCATAATTTGTAGTAGTAAAAATGTAATAATTTAAATATGAATATATTGTAGATATCTATATATTGGTTTAAAATGTAAACTTCTTTTTTCTAAATACCTAGGTACTTATTTTATACAAACATCAGGTTACATTAATTAATGACAATACATTAAAATTGTTTACAAGTTTTCTGAGTAACAGACAACAACTAACCACTATCGGATCTCATTACAGTGATCATTGTTGTGTTAACGATTATGGAATCACTCAAGGTACATCATTATTAATTTTCGAGGATAACATAGCACTATAGTTTATTTCGTAGATAATTGTGTGAAATTGAAACACACTGTAGAAATCGATTTACGGTATATATATATATATGACTGGATGGAAAAAATGTGTTATCACTTAACATAAACAAATCGGTTTGCATGCCAACGATTGGCGATACAAATCTCATGAATTTTCAGGTAGACGGGAAGTGGTCTGTAATGGGGCTAGTGGAAAAACAGCATAAACATTATAGGTACACAGCGTCCCCGTTACAGCTTATCACTTTATACTGCCAATGCGCTCCCAGATTATTCCTGATGGATATAACTTCATAATGCATAAATGTGGAACTTGTATGACAAATTGTAGCTGTAAGCCAAATAAAATAGTATCATCATTCAAATATTTTGGAATGACATTAGATTTTAACCTAAAATAGTCAGAAACATACAGAATATTAAAAATAAATTGAGGAGTTTAATTGTATTATTTTACAAAATTCGATTTCTTGATAAATCAGTTATAAGAAAAATGTACATGGAACTAGCTGTGTAATTGTATTCTATTATACGGCAAATCATGTTGGGGGAGGGGGGCACTAACAGAAAATACATTAATACATTGCATATTACACAAAAATTATTGTAAAAGAAGCATAGACACTCCCTTCCATTAAAATACACATCAGAGGAATTATTCAACCATACTAATATATATTATCTGTTTATAAATTATACATTAGGAAAATTTTAGATAAATCCATTCAAAACCGCACACTCAATGCTACAGAGATAATAGACAGAAGAACAGGAAAATGCATTATACCGTCATATACTTTATTAACTAGTTCTAGAAACTATCTCAATCGCACGAGGAAAACTATTTTCAACAATTTAAATAACGAAGTTAAGGGTCTGATAAAAAGTTTATGTGAAAGTCAATCCATAATACCAATGATATGATTAATAAAAATCAAATAAAAAAGGCAATAAATAAAATAGTTAGCGATCTCGATGATAATGTGTGTATCAATTAAATTATAAAAGGTCTGTATGTCTAAACATAATATAGTATAATATAAAATTTGATGCTAACCTATTTGTAATTCGTATGTTAAATTTTTTTCCTAAAGTATCTATTTATTATGTTATGTTTATTTGATTAAATAATATATTTATTTGTATACGTTTTTACTATTAAACGAAATATAATATTGTTGAAGTCCGTGTACCAGATACGAGCTTATAGCTCAGTTGGCGTACATATCAGCTATTACTAATGTATTTTATTTTAATTATTTGACTGATACAGTATAAAATATATATAATTTAAATATTTAATATGTCTTGTTCTTTAGGTAGCCAAATTAAATTTTGCTTTTAAAAATCTTAAGATATAATTACAATTTTGAACGCCGCATAGGCGCATATTTTATATGTTTGGACCTTTGTCAAGAAAGCAGATTTTGTTAGTTTTAATTATTTCATATTCTATATATTGGTATTTGACGATACATCAGTGATAGAAAATAAATTTATAAATATAAACTGGTGCTGCTATCAAATTCTTAGGTTAACTGTCTATTATCCATTGTTAGCTGCTTGGTAATTTTCAATTGTATAACATACTAAATACTTATTATTTGAATTCAAATAATATATACATCAGTAGTCGCTGTAATATAGTAGGTACCTATCTTAAATATTTCTACAATAGCCAATAGATACTAAATCAAAAATTAAAAACTGTCTCCCTTCCCTTAAATGATTTGACCGACACCGTACAGAAAATTATTATTATTATTGTTATTATACATTATCATATTTTATTTTAACACATTCGCCTATCGATAAGTAGGTACATTGTAATAAAGTTGTAACCTATAATATACATAATATAATAATTTCCTAAAAATGTATTTTTTTACACTACAAGCCATAAACTTAAAACAATTTTATGTGACGTCATATTATCATTTTGTATGAAAATGAATTGTTACAATATAATAATATGACAACTTAATCCTCTCATTTAATATTTATAGGTATACTATATCTAATCTATTTTTGATATCGTGAGTAAGAATTTCCAAGAGTGAAATCTACAGTATAATCTACGTAATAAATTGTGTTTACTCTAAACTATTTTTACTCAAGTATATTTATAAGAGGAGGGTAATTATATCGTCGAGAGTAATGTTATTATGCTTGTCATGCCAGCTGTGGCGGGGGCGGTGTCCAATCGAAAAATAAATGTCATTATTTTATTCTTATCCTGATTAACCCAATAAATGTATTAAAATATTTTTCTTTTCAATACATAATAATATAAAGTTAGCTTTCATAATGCAGTGTCCAATTAAACAATTTTTATTTGATTACCTACGACATTAATGCTGGATTGCACAAAGCGTTGATTCGTTTAATGAATCACTACAATTTATCGAGCTAACGGTGGGCCACCGAATAACGTTTGAGGTTAGTTCCCTATTAATTCATTAAAATATGTTTAATGATTGCAACTCGGTAAAAGTGATTATTAAGCCAAAAAAAATTATTTAAAAAAAAAACAAATCTCAGTGACTACATCAAAGAGCAATTAACAACATTAATAAGATTACTACCTACATGGCTACATCGTTGTTCGACCACATGGTTTGATAAAAAGTTTAGTATATTATACATATTATTGTTTCTTTTATTATTATATACAGCATGCCCAACGTGACCAATTCGAAATTATGCAACGCCAAACAAGAGCATTTTTCAAAACCATGTATTTGAATAGATTATATGAATTACGGAAAAAATTAATATCGTAGTATAATATGTTTGAATATAATGAAACAATACTACACATAAATGTGATCTACTTTTAGAACACATATATTGTGAATCGGTCAGTATTTTTAGAGCGTTCTGTATACGCTGCCATCATTATTTTCAGTAAATCTGTCGTTTTTGTAATTTTTTATGACAGCGTAACGTCCTTCGTTGGAAATCCGGAGATTTTTGGAGTAATGCCACATCGTAGACCGTACTACACGTTTATTTGGCATAAAACAAAATGCATGTGTTTACCGATAAGTGTAAAATAAAAGTAAAAAATATGTTAATTAATGCGCTTAAAATGCACAAGACATTTTCAACAAAATATAAGCATTTCAAATGTAAAATTCAAAATACATACAAAGGCATACAGAAAAAAAAATTTTAAAATATTACATAGATACACAGGTACCTAC